TGTTCCCAAGTCATCTACCCCTGCAACCTCACTGGCAAACCTGGTGGGTGCACAAAGAAGGAGAAACACGTCTGGCATGTACAACTGCAACACAACATTTTTCAGCCCTCATCTCATTTTCTTAAGATAAAACATTAGTTCATACACCTGAAAGAAGAAAACAATTGTTTAGGTGCATTGTCAGCACCATCACATACAGGACCATCTGCAGAATTTCCTTCAGAAAGGGCTACAAAAGGTATGGGGAGGTATATCAAAACCACAGCAGTTCAATACTCCCTGTACTACACTAACTGAGTCCAAGATTAGTCCTAAGTAACAAGTTCTTTCTAGAACTAGTTGGGTACATAGTACTGTTTTTTATCTGGCTCAAGTTGGCCACTACAGCATCTCAGGGCTACAGAACAACATAAATACAGCTACCAGAGGCTATCAAAAATAAATAAATCTTACAACTGTGGCTGAGGAAGTCACATATCCATTCTGGCACCAACACCATGGGACCAGTTCTGCCTTGCAGAACTCTGATTTCACTTTCATGCACTGGCCATCTTTCTCTATTTCCTGTCTGGTAGCTCCAGGAAACCAGCTATCAGTCACTAACAGAAATAAAATTTTTAAGTACAATCAGAAAATAACTTTTTAAAATACCCCTCATGGGGTTTCTTTCACTAGTAAGAAACTGTCACAAGTATGCCTGTTTAGTGCTCTGCTGAGTGAAAGTAAAGGACTTTACCTGATGCATCGAGTGCACTGTATACACCGAGTCATGATGGTTTTCACTAAGGGGCCGATGTTCTTGTCCTCCACAGCACGTTTGCTCTCCCTAAATCTGCTCCTATCACTGCCAAACATCATTGACTGGTCCTACAAGAGACAACAGAACACACACCTATCCAGGCTGCTGGAAAGCACAACTGCACCTAAGATAAGAGCATCATACATAAGTCTACATAATTTAATTGGATGTTGTACCTGCAGATCACATTCTCCACCCTGATCACAGATAGGACAGTCCAGTGGGTGATTTGCCAGCAGAAACTCCATTACACCCTCTCTGTTAGGTTCAGAGAATGAAGTTAATGTCAACATCATATAGCAGATAGTACAATTAATCAGTCAAAGGAGGCTAAAAGAAAGGTACCTTGCTTTCCTGGACTTCTCAGAGTTTGTCAGTATATTCCAGCCCTTCATAACTGGCATGGCACAAGCAGCAACTGGCTGCAATCACCATAAAAAGCAAGCATGAACACAATGTATTTCTTCTCAGCATGGGCACAAACCCCCATCTCCTCCCCCCACAATTCTAACATAGCTATCTGTTATAAATAAATAGAAATAAGGAGGTCTGCATGGAAAAAAAAAAAGAGTCTAACTGATAAAGTCACTAGAAGCCATATTTATTAATAATCTGCTATATAAAAAGGTAAAATGAGTTATGATTTATTCAAAACATAAAATTCTACAATTTCCAGTCCCCATTCGAGCAATTGCAGCTTTATTATTAAGATATTAAGAATATCAGTTGTAATAGATACAATGCAAATGAAAGAGCTTCAGCAGACATCTAGAAAACCTCTAGAACTGAAATTCAGAGTAAGAATCATTTACAAGACATTTATTTGCACAAAGCCTGTATAAAGTCTTGGAATAAAATTCTTCTCAAGATTACTGCAAGAGTAACAAAAACTCCCACTCTGTAAATAAATCCCTCTTACTTTTCAATCACATCATGACTTCCACCTTTAGTGATAACCCAACATATCCAGGGACACAAAGCTCAAACTATGGAATTGAAGTTGGGGTGAGTTAAAAAATTTTATGTGTGAGTATAAATGTGTAATCCAAGACTGAACTCCAAAAGAATGTGCATAGATTTCTTAGCACTGCTGAAGAAAGAGTTCACTCCTGAAATCAACTATTTCACAACAGTGAAAATATAAACTACTAACTGCAGTCTTTACTTAGAATGAACCTGCATGTACTAATCCTACAACTAAATTAATACACTATCTGAGGTTTATTATTTATGTAGTTTCAGCTAAAAATGTGTGGCTGAAGCTTGAACTACAAAGCATAAAATGCATCTAACAGCAACCAAGATTATGACAACAATTACTTACAAGATTTAAACTAGGCCCAAGCACAGCAAAAAATTCCTACTGAGCTCTGCATTGCATATTCCATATTGCAATTCCTATGAAACACAAACAATACCTTTGGAGCCTTCTCTATTTCCACAAGACACATCCTGCAGTTTCCAGCAACAGAGAGACGATCATGGTAACAAAAACGAGGGATCTGAACTCCAGCCTTTTCACAGGCCTACCAAAAAATAAGAAACAAAGGAAAATTAAATCTAAGTGAGACTTTTCAGTTCCATCTCAGAAAACACTATACAGCTTCTCAAAGAGTAACACTGTCAGTGCTCAAGAACAGAGTGCACTTGACCTTTCATCTTAAGAAGTGACCATAAATAAAAAATTGTGACAAAGCAAAAAAATGTCAGGATATCAATTACAAATATAGATTTTCTAACCTTTAGAAAGGTTAGAAAAACTAACTGACCTCTGTTTCATTCTTTCCTCCAATAATAGAGAGAATTCTCTGCAACAGGGCACTAGCAATACAAATTACATTTTAAGAACACATACATTCTTTACAGAAAAGTGCATCAAAATAAAAATTGAAAAACATAAAAAGAGCGCCATAACCATAATGATTTCTGACAATGCAACAACACAGATCCTCTGTATAAAGGTACTCCAGCACAGCCAATCTTCAACAGACCCTAAACTCAAAGACAACATGACAGAAGAAGAGATGGGGGACAGAGCCAACTGATTTCCAGAGACCAGATGAAGACAGCTAATGGGATCTATGCTACAGCATTATAGCTATGCCTGCCAGCAGAAATACCACTGTATTGTGTATTTTAATGCTCTAACCCATTATACCACATCTTCATTTAATGGCTTCTTAAAAAAAGCTTTACTTGAAATTTTAGCCTGAAAAGTAACAACGTACTGAGGTACAGGCTGGGAGATCCAGGTTCCCTTACTTCCCACACCAAGAATAATAAAAGCAACTAAGGACGAGCATTCTGAATCATAACAACTAATAACTAAAAGTAGACAATCCCTCATTTACCCAAGACACACTGTAATAAGATACAAAATGTACAGGTTCTGAAAGACTACAACGTCACATAGTGTTCAGAGACAGAAGTTCAACCAGAATTTATTGAAGTCTGTTATTGCATTGATAAAGTTTTGCAGCTGGGATTGATGCTGCCTGCATCTTCTTTCAAGCAACCATGGCATATTTTCCTTTTTCAAACACTGAATTCCTCCAAGGATTTCTGTCACTTGAAATTACATCACAGTCAGTCAAAATATCTCTAAAGAATTGCAAGAAACAATGTAAAGACAGATGGCTTTTTGCTGTATGGAACAGAAAATGCTGCCAAGAAGAGAGATGGGAAGTTGCAGAAAATTGAGAATGCCATTCCCCAGACCTGCAGGACAGTGGTTCCAGGGTTCACCAGTACAGGATGGCCATCCACAAACACCTCTATTTGGTTGCTGGCTGCTGTTGTAGTTGTACGCCCTGAAGGACACGGAAAAGAAAACAAAAACAACTTTCACTTACTGCTAGATGGAAACCATCAGACCCCCCACTTCTGATTTTCTTTACAGAGTGCTGACAGAATCCCAATTCTACCAAGAACGCAACACAGAAGCCCTTAGCCTGCAAAGTACGTATGCCTATGTGCCCTTCAATAAACGAACTGCACACGCATTTACCACAGAGACCCAGATATAAACTACAGACACTTACCACATACTCTGGAGGACTGGGTGACCCCAGCTAAGGTCCTGGGGACAGCAAGCAGCCGGAACATGATGCTTTGGTGAGAGAGAAAACAACGCTGTTGTTATCAGGTCAGATGTTTGCTGGCGAGTTTTAAACCGGCCGAGTAAAAACTTCTACCCCAACTGCACAGCAGCACATATGCTCATATAGGAAAACCTATATGTACAGCTATGGGACAGTGAGTTACTCCTCCAAACGCAAGATACGATTCTCTACCAATCTACACATCACACGCAGGGTGTCACTGAGCGGCCTCTCCGCCTGCAGCGGAGCGCCGGCCGGGCCCCGCTCCCCCACGGGCCGGACAGCGTAGCTCGGCAGCGGCGGGCCCAGTGCCGCCGTTCCCGGGGCCGAGGGCACGGCGGGCGACAGCGCTCCCGGCGCGGGGGTCACCTTGGAGGCGCCGCCGCCCGCCGGGCAGCCCCCGGCCCGCCGCCCGGCCCGTCAAGGACACCGGGAGCGGCGGCGGCGCCCGGAGCAGCGGCACCCGCGCGCACCGAGCCGCCCGCGGCGGCACCGCCGTTACCTGGCGCGGGACGGGCGGCGGCGCCGCGGGACGGCTGCGCTCCGCCTCGGCCTCTGCGGCGGCGGCCTCGGGCCTTTCCGCCGCTGACCTCAGCCTCCTTCGGCTGTCTCCGCCGCCTTCTTCGGCAATCTCCGTAAAGGGCAGTCCGCGCTCGGCAACCTCCGGAGCGAACCGCTTCGGGTATTTCCGGCAAGTAATAGGCGAACGACAACGCGCGTAATTTCCGCCGCCAGCCCAGAGCCTTTTCGGCCACCGTCACACGCACTGCCCTCCCTCGGCAGTTTCCGTCCCTTTCCGCCCCTTTCTTCGCTCATCTCCGGCAACTTCCGTTTGGCCAGCAGGGCGGGGTGTGACGACAGTACAATGTTACAAAGTCCGTGGGACGCCGCAAACCTTCCTTGGGTTTATAGTCAGCCTCACTTTTATTACTTCGACCTTTTCCCGCACCCCTGGTGTCCCATCCGCTGGCCGCCCTGCGCTGCAGCAGCCAATCCGTGAGGAGCCACCTCGCGACTCGCTCTCGCGGAGGAATACAGCTGCGTGCAGTGCCGCGGAGGGATACCAGCCCTATATAAGGCCGGCGCAGGCGCGCCGAGGCCCTTTCCCGCGGCGGTGACGGTCGGGGCGGGCGCAGCGTGTGGGCCGCGCGCCGCCGCCATGGGCTTCGGGGACCTGAAGTCCGCCGCGGGCCTCCGCGTCCTCAATGACTTCCTGGCCGACAAGAGCTACATCGAGGGGTGAGAAGCGGCGGGGGGGGGTGCCGGGGCGCGGGAAACATGAGTCGGGCCTGGCGGAGCCAAGCGGCGGGGACGCGGGAGGGCCCGAGTCACCCCGGCAGCTGCACGGGCGGCGCTGCTCGGCGGCCGCCGCCGCTCCACGTGTTCCTTGAGCGAGGGCGGTAAACTGGCTCGTTCTCCGCAGGTACGTCCCTTCCCAGGCTGACATAGCAGTCTTCGAAGCGATTGCTGGCCCGCCGCCTGCGGAATTGTTCCATGCTCTCCGGTGGTACAATCACATTAAGTCGTATGAAAAGCAAAAGGCAAGGTACGGTAAAACTCTGAAGCTGCAATATTTCCCCGAACTAGCCTACAAATTGTTAAATTTGTTTCTTTGAGTTTGAGCAAAACTGGTTTCCTGTGGCACCACGTGGCGTTTTGTGTTGTTGGAGCACAAATAGCCCCAGAAGCAGGGCAGACCTCTTGTCAGTACGGAGGACAAGATTAATGATTTGCAGTACCGAAGGACATGAAAACAAAAGGAGATATGAAAGGAAATAGTATCTCTTTTCTCTTTTAGTGGTTTTACGTGTTCATGAAAGGTGCTATATTGACATCCGTGGAGACTGCAGGCCTCTCTCAAAAGGTACAGCACAGGGAGGGTCAGTGCTGCTACACTGCTTCCTCTGAACCTCAGTCCTCTTCCAAGGAGACACTTCCAATCATGGATGGCTCAGTCTCCAGTGCATTTCTGAAGCTTTTGTAATGCTGAGGGAGACTGAAATTCTGAAGTGGTTTCACAAAGTATCTGGAAACTATTTATGGTTCCTGAAATCCAAAGCTAGTTTTATGGCTTCAGTGACAGCCATTCATGTTAGCAATACAATTATGAGCTTAATGTAAGATAACAGGTCTATGTGAGCTGCAAGAGAAGGTAAATTCAGGGAGTTCGGGTCATTTGTCTTGTTGAGAGTAAGAGTTTAGGGTAAAGTGTTCATTAAAACATAAGAAAATAGCAGTTACCTTGCAGTAATGTGTTTTCAGTAACTTACTAAGTTTTAAACAAGTGAAAGTAGTTCTAGGGACCCATGAACAAGTAGTTGGTAATTTTTCCTAGGCAGAATATCATCCAGATTAAGGATTTCAATAAGAAAGCTTGTCCTATCCATGTACTTAGCTGGGCAGGCTCATATCAGCTTTGATAAGTTATAGCAGATCCCATATTCACAGATTGCTTGGCTGGCATGTCAGGGGCATTGGGGGCTGTCTTCCATGAGGTTCTAATTTCAAGTAGCAGAATTGGATTTTTGCTCTTTTCAGCACAAGTTTTTCATTATAGGTGTATTTGTAGGTGTATTGATAAACTGGCAGTGATTGTATTGACATTTGAGGAGGTTCCTAATTGCCTGCATTTTTCTTTCAGCTTGCCAGGAGTAAAGAAGGCTTTGGGAAAATATGGTCCTGCTGATGTTGAGGATACCACAGGTGGGGCCACAGATAGCAAAGATGATGATGACATTGACCTTTTTGGATCTGATGATGAGGAGGTACTTGTGACCTTTTTGTATTATTATTGCTTATTGCTTTTCAGAAATAACCACATAGGCAAATCTTCACCTTAACCTAGTTGAAAATACTCATATTTCTGACCTTGCAATTCTCAAGTATAGCTATCTTTGCAGAATTGGAAAGCTTGAAAGGTAAAACCTCAAAAGGTAGAAAGCAATGGGCTGTAGTGGGGTGAACTGTCCAACTTTGACTGGTTACATGATGAGTAAAACAAAAAATCACCATCTTTCGGCTGACAGGTGTGATGATTTGTTTTTATCTGAGTAAATGCCAGTCAGTTTAGTAGTGCTTTGGAGATGTGGAGGTTTAGTGCTTTTCTGTAACTGCAAATTTCCCTTTCAGGAAAGTGAAGAAGCAAAGAAACTGAGGGAAGAACGTCTGGCCCAGTATGAATCAAAGAAATCCAAAAGTATGTGCCAAGAGCTTTCTAATCTTTATGCCTGAGTTAATTTTAATGCATCTGGACAGGATGGTTAGAAAGGCTAATTAACTGTAATAATAGATCAGCTTGACTGGAACGAGACAGGAGTAATTAGCTTCACTTGGATTGCCAGTGAGCTCAGCCTTCCCATAGCAAATAGGAGTGTTAACATGCTTTTTGTTCTGGTTCATACCCTCCCGCTTGTTCTTTCCAGAGGCTGGGCTTTCTACATACATGGAGATACAAGTTTAGAAACTGCTGCAGTACACAAGTTACTCCACAGCTACTGGTCTGGAACTGTTCAGAACTGTAGCAGTTGCAGTATTCCCTCTGTGGAAAATAAACTGTTACACAGCATTAGGCTCCTTCTCAGATGATCTGAGAAGGACTTCCTCTGTAACAAACACTGTCATCTACTTAAATCTGTGTATACATAATGTATCTGCATATTGAACCTTTGGATGTATACAGCTGCAGTACAAGAAATCTATGTGGGTACCAGAGGCCTGTCACAGCAATGTGAGCAGGTTCTTGTTCATGAAATTGGATAAGTTGCTCTAGTAAAACCAGTTTGCAAGTATATTCAAGAGTTTTTGGAAGATGCCTATCTTTTCATGGTGATTTTCTTCCCCCAGAACCAGCTGTTATTGCCAAGTCATCAATCCTGCTTGATGTGAAACCTTGGGATGATGAGACGGACATGGCCAAGCTGGAGGAGTGTGTGCGAAGCATTCAAGCAGATGGCTTGGTCTGGGGGTCTTGTAAGTATGGGCAGATTGCAGAGCAGGGAGAGGGGGAGGGCAGGCCCTTGGGATAGAGTATGAGTAGTGGGACTTGGGGTCTCTGCTGATCTGTGAAATGTAGGCAGCTGTGATGGGGGAACTGCAGTACTTCCATGTCTTTACATGGTCAGAAAAGGTGTGTTAATGCAGTGGCTGGTTAAGATTCAAATACAGGTTTTAAAAGCTATAGGACTTGAGCTCTGCTCTCCTGCATCTCCCTGTACAATTCCTGATGCAGCAAACAAACACCTTTACCCGCCCACATCACTGGTTTGGAAAGGAATGGAGTGCCACAGAAAGAAGCTTTTTCAATCAGTTGTAATGAATGCTGAGTTGTTAAGTAGATGGTCCATAATGTGGACCAAAGACTGTTTTTATATATTCCTGCTTTAAGAGATTCCACCAAAAAAGGAGTAATAAATGTTATTTTTTTTGTTTTGCAGCCAAGCTAGTACCTGTTGGCTATGGTATCAAAAAGCTTCAGATCCAGTGTGTTGTTGAAGATGATAAAGTTGGAACAGATATGCTGGAAGAGAGAATAACAGCTTTTGAAGATTATGTACAATCAATGGATGTAGCTGCTTTCAATAAGATTTAAGTCTTGATATACCTAGAATAAATGTTGTTGCAAAAAATGTGCAGTGTCTGTGCTTGTTTCAGAATCTTAGAGTAAGCCAGCTCACAAATGTAAGGTTTTCTTAATGGATAAAGTAAAAGCCAAAACTGAATTTCAGGGTTGCTCTGACACCTCACTGTAGTATCCAGGAGCACAAGCAGAGCATCACTTCAGAGTTAACATGACCATGGCTTTAAAATATTGAAATGCTCTTCTTCCATCTGCAGAGGAAATTGCTGCTTTGGAAGTGTCTGGGATTCCTTTGGAGGGAGGGATGGTTTTAAGGGAAAGGAGCAGGGCTCCGTCAAAAGCATGTTTTAGTGGGTAAACTGTAAATTCCTTTAGTTAGCTAAGGTGGTGACTAACCAAATACACCACAGCCTTTTTTGACAGCTAAAACCACAGTGAGAGAGAAATGAAGCTAAGAAGCTAAGTTCAAAGTGACTTGTGGTGCCCTAGAGATAAGGCCTGAGACTATGCTGCTGCCTTCTCACCTGTTCTGTGACTTGGAACTTTTTTTTTATCCTTTCTGAGGCTTGGTAACGTTTGCAATGAAATTCCGTGCAGTTTTGTGTGTTAATGAACAGCGCAGAGCGCTGCCGAGGCGCCGCTGCCGGGCGGTGCCGCCGGGGGGCGCTGCGAGCCCGGCGGTGCCCGGGTGCGGAGCCGGGAGCGGTGCGCGGGCTGCAGCCGCTGCCGGCTCCGTCTGACCCACGCGAGAAACTTGCGCTCGGGACTTAAACAAGAAAATAGCAGCTGAAAATGCAAACACACTAAAGGATATAAAAAGTAGTGAAATTAACAGCAGTTTGAGCTGTTTACTCAGCTCCAGATTGGTTTCTAGATTGATTTGGACATTTCATTTAGTGATTGAAGAACCAGTAGGAATAAATCCCAAAAACTGTCTATAGAAATGATACAAATGTAGAAGCTGTCAAAGTTGTGAAGCTTCTAAACAAATTCATAATTCTATGCCTTGCATTGGACTGACAGGATTTATTGTGACCATGAAATGTAATCCTTTTATGTGCCACATTGGTCACTCTGAGATGAAGATGCCCACTGTCAGAGTCTGACAGCTGCATCTTAAGTAACTCTTTTTGTTGTTTTTTCACAGAGCATCTGTGTGGTTATCTGGCACAGCAGGTCCTCTTTCTCCTTGTTTAAAGGTCTGCCAACTTATGATTATGTACGAGCTTTGTTTATAATTTGTCTCAGAAAAAAATCTGCCTGCTAGAGGCTTAAAGCACGGTTAAAGATCTGAAAGTGGGTATTGTTACAGGCTCACTTGCCACTTTCCATAAGCCTAATTCCTAAACAGTACCCTTTCTGTGGCAATTCTCTAGCTGTTGCTTTTTCTAAATCATGGAGCTTAGTTTCACCAATTCTGTCATGGTGCTGTTAAAAGCAAGAAATTGGCAAGCACCATATCAGACAAGCAAGTTATTAAAAATTCTGTCTCAAAAATATAGGTTTTATTATCTTGGCCATCACTTTTTCTGACCTCCCATTCAATGTGCTGCTTACCTTGATACTCTTTCCTTGGCTTTCAAATTAAAGTCCTAAGTGGATAAAATGGTTTGATTTATAGATGATAACTTTGTTAAAATGCAACACTGAGTCATCCGCGTGACCTGCAGACTGGATCTATGTATCTTACATTTATGCTAAGCATACACACACAAACTCTTTGGTTCTTAAGATTTCTTGTGTGTGTTGGGTTTTGGCAGGGGTTTTTTTATCCTGAAACAAAAAAGAAAGTTGCACAGAAACAAAGGAAACAAAAAAAACCTAGAGAGCACAGTGTTCCCAGTGAAGATATAGGTAGGTGTTGTGGGCAAGAGTATTCTGCTCAATCCACATATATTTGTGTTACGTGGTTTTGGGTGGTGTTTCGGTATGTGCTGGCATATTACTGTGTCATTGTGCCCGTGAAAAAACAGCACCCTGGACTAAATAAGGCAAGTATCCCAAGTGCACCCCATAAGAGAGGGATCAGTAGAAAATTCCATTACTTCAGTATGTTCTATACAGGTATACTGGGAAAACAGTTTGAACAAAACTAATCTACATAAAAACCTTCAGAAACACAAAGTTTCAGTCCAGGAAGAAGATAAAAGTAACTAGAACCTGTCCATTATGAAATGTGTCAATTGCTATTTCTGTAGTATCTCTTTGCATGATGACACAGGTTCCTTTCCTTTTTCTGGCCCTTTTTTTCCATTGTGGTGAGTCTAATGAGCATTCCTCAGCCCAAGCAGCATAGAATGGTTGGTATTGTTTTGGAGACTTTTTGGAAACAGAAACTTAGAGCATTATCTGTTTTGTTTAGATATCTTGAATTACTCTTGAAGAAATGATTGAGATAATTCTGTAACTGATCTTGGTGTGAACAGTAGCAGTTACACTGCACAATTGTTAATCCACCTAATGCCACAGATCAAGGCTGATTTTGGCTTTATTCAATTCTATCCTCTGTCTTTCTCCTGTCTGCTTCTGGCCACACTTTCTGATCCTTTATGCAAGATGGGACATATATGCTCCCCCATTTGAAAATCAGTCTCTGTGCTGTGCATAGGAACCTGTGTGTGCACAAAGCTGAAGAAACCTGACATGAACCTTAAATCCCATAGCAGAAAGGGCCAGGGCTTGATTTCACCTTCCAAAATCTTTGGGAAGGAGCTGTTATAAGAAAAGCCAGTCACCACACATTGCTGCTAAGAAAAGCAAATGAACATGCTCTTTGGAAACAAGAAAATTTTATTACTTCACCTGGAATACAGCCAGGAGAGTACATCATTCTTAGAAAGATGTCAGGGAACATGTGAAGAAAAACTGCAAAATGTTTGATTTAGGCACATACAACAGCACGGTGCCAAAATATTATGATGAGCAACTATGTACCAGGCAGCAAATGACTCAAAGGAAGAATGCTGCTTACCAGCTTTTCAGTCCAAAGGGAAATACACTGAAATTCCACTGATCCTGCCTGACTCTCAGACTCTGAAACCAGAGCCCAAAGAAATAGTTACAGACCACAGTCAGGCTGTTTCTATTTATGCAGCTACCAATATTGGATGTGCTCATGCATATATATATATTTTATACAAAAGCAAATCTATTCACATATAAGGCCTCAGTTATAGCATAAATGCTACTGTGTTGGCAGGCCATATAAACTACGTAAATTATCTGAAAGGCAGTTTTATTCGATATGCCTAGGCCAATAACTAGGAAAAAACAATTCAAATTTACCCAAAGCTCTATGCTTTTACTTGCAGTAGAGTTTTGTCCCACATTCAACTTTTTAATTAAGTGGTATTGCATCAGAAATTGGTTCACTCCACATAGCATTTATATATTTGCATTGGTGCATGTATGATTCTGCAGCAAGCGACAAGTTGTAACAGAATACAGCATAACTGGGACTACTTCATCTTTCTTATGGGAGTGGACTCCATTTCCTGGATGAACTGTCTTGCCTCTAATTTGGAAAAAAAGTCTGAATTTGGCTACAGACTTGTAACAGAATACTAATAAATTCACTCCACCCATTTTTTAAGCTTAGCATTAAGGCAAACAAAATGTTATATTATTTCTTTACCTTTGCTTGAAAGAGGAATAAAGAGCAATCAATAGTTGTAAAAGTCTCTAGGACTAAACTTTTAAACATAGAAAAAGAAGTGTGGCACATAAGCTGTAAGAAACATTTTCACTAATTCTTTGCATGTATTGAATGAGCCTAATGCCTATATGAAACATCTGCTCAGTATTTTATACCCAGCTAGTGCTAAAAATACAGTAAGTGACCCCAAAACACAGGGTCTCCTGTCTTAGTTTTGAGTATAAGATAAAGAGCAGTGTGAGAAGACAGGTTTCATTTCCATATTTTTCTTTTTTGACAATAGAAGGCAGCAATTCAGTGTTCTCCATTTTGGGATTCTTCTCCAGCTGCAGAATGGAGCCACTGATAGCTTCATTTAGGTGGGATGTAGCCAGGGGATTCCTCCTTGGGGCAGTAGTAGGCAATGAGGAGACTTATGACCCAGTGATGTACAGCCACAGCCTCTTGGGTGAGAATGCCTCAACCAAGAGTTGTATCAGCAATGGCAAGGAGGAATATTTTTATTATGTGTTCTTTTGATATCAATGAGGTATGGAACCACAGCAAACGAATAGGATCACAACAACATTCCTCAGCAAAAGCCCAGTTAGAGTAACTCCACCTATGCTGATAACTTTCAGTTCAGGCTGTATGTGCATTGCAAGGGCACATGTAGAAATCACGCGTCCCTTAAAAACCTTTCCATTAAAGCAGCAAGTGCAATGAAGCCAGCTGTTTACAGAAAACTGTCTATGCAAAGATGCACACCTGACTGGCAGATGTGAAGCCAGGAACACCTCCAAATCTCCTGCCAGCTCCTCTGGGGAGAGCTGCTGGCACGAGCGGTCACTGGGCAGTCTCACAGCAGCGCGCGGGCGCGTTGTCCGAGCTCCAGAGCTGCTCGCTGACGGTGCCCGAGCGGCTCACCTCCCACAGGGCCAGCTTCAGCACCTCCGACACCGTGCTCCTCACCTGCGCCTGGAACTTCTTGCTGATCAGAACGTACAGGATTGGGTTGAGGCAGCTGTTGATGAAACCAAGGCCGGTGGAGAGGGGAATGCCATCCTGCAGTAAGTCATGCAGGTTTTCATCGTGGTGAGCAGACAGCTCCACAATGCTGAATATATGATACGGTGTCCAGCAGACAAAAAAAGCCACAACTACAGCAGTGATGGTCCAGAAAAGCCTGCTAGAAGTCAGTACAGTTCTCCTCTTCACTTTGACAATCAGCAGCGAGTAGCAAATAACCATGGTCACCAAAGGAAAGAGGTAACCAAATGCAAGCCTGACCCAAATGAGAATGTGATGTGTCAGCAAAATAAGTTCTCTGTCATGCACATGGAAGTTGTTGTAGCAAATGGTGACATTGTTGAGAACTGTAGCTGTGTCTCTAAAGTACAAGGCAGGGCCACCAA